AAAAATTTGGGGTTTATATTAAACAATTTGTGCATATGATATTATTAGATATTTAAGGCAAAAAATGTATTTTCTATTAATAAATAATTAAGCAATAAATATAAATAAGTCTTTTCTTGCATATTAAAATTTTTTATTGTAATTAAATTTTTTTAAATAAAAAATACAATTATTTAAATTTATAAAACTTCGCAGTTACAATGATGGAAAACATTGATTATAACGATTCTGATAGTGAATCTGTAGATGAAATCGAAAACTTTCCTATTCTAAACTTCAATAACGATACATATCAAAATATTAAAGATAAAATATTACAACTAGATGGTGATGATAATGAAGACTATGACCTTAATAGTGAAATAGAAAAAATTATATTACATGATGAGTTAGATGAAGTATTTAATCAAATATTTCTGAAAATAAAGATAATAAATATACACCTTGTGTCATTATAGATAATGACAATGATAATTACAAAATACAACGATGCAACAGAATTGATGCTAACTGACCTCTTGTACAACTTAAGAGTACTTGGAAAATCGATCGTAATACCGCTAAGCAATATAATAGAAAATTAAATGAGCTTGGTATCTGTTATAGACATTTTCTTTATGATCAAAATCAGCTATATTTAAAAAAAATTCAAATGCTAGAAACAGACCGTAGTATTCTTCATTATGCGAGATGCTTATTTTGTAATAAATATAAATGCTTCTTTACACGTAGTGAGGGTTGTTCCAAGCATTCGTGGATAATATGTGGACATAATATTAGAGTTCCATGTCTAGGACTATGATCATGTAAAGCATTACAAACCTGTTACTCAGTTTCTGTTTTGTCAACAAATAATACACGACCCTTATATATTTGTTCAGAATGTTATGAGGCAAATGGTGGTCATCTATATAGAAGGTATGGTAAAGGAACTAGAGAAACAGACTGTAATGAGAAACATGATGACTTAACTAGAGTTTTAGAAACATTTGAAAATTGGATTCAGTTAGTAGCAAAATCGGATAATATAATACAAAAACAACAGCTTATCTGGTTATTGTTGCCAGCAGTTGAGTTGTTAAAGCCTTATTTGCTACGAGAATTGCTTTATAAACCAATAAATCCAGATCCTTCTGAACGATTTGTTATGCTGACTCTACTAATTACTTGAATAGCATTTAGATTAGCAAAAATAGATTTAAGCATTAAAGCAAATGAAGCATTTTTAAAAGAAAATGAATGTATATACTTCAGAAATCTTCTTGGAGAATCTTTATGGCAATTACACATCTCGCTTAAAGATAATTTGCCAATATTAGAAAATCCTCAATACTTGTACAATATGCTTCGGTATTGCCTCAAACTCTGTGGTCTTTTTTTAATAGTCTTATTATGGTTCTTTTAGTAAAAAAATATGAAATTGCTGAAAGAAAAAGAAAATCATGTGGATCACCATCAATTCCATTAAATTTAATATCAATTAAAAGAATCACAATATTTTTAGTATCAATTATAATGGGAATTTCTTTTCATCATTGAAAAATTTGGTTGCCTCATGTCTTGAGCTCACTTTGTAGATGCCCAAATATGATTTCAAAGCTTCATAAAATTCTTCATTCTGCACATATAATTTCTTATATTTGGGATCATGAAGTTCATACAGAAAGATGGCACATGGAAAGTGCTAATCCTGCTAACAGACTTAAAACTACAAGTAATATCTATAATTTATCAGTTATTGATAATATTGATATAAAAGAAAAAACATTCACATACAGAAATATTTATAATACTGCACAGCAAACTGCACATGCTACTCTACGAATCACATTCCAGTTTAAACTTCCTTCAAATTTGCCTAATAATCCTTCAGTCTTTTTTTCTGAACAATCAAGCCAAGTTACGATTAGGTTATCAATGGTTACAGATAATCTAAATAAAAATTATAATCAAATTTTTGAAGAACTGCTTTTGGAAAAGAAAAATAAATTTGATATTAGTGATATTTATCAAAAGGTTATTGAAATTGTTGAAATAGGATGCAAATTTGATAAACCAAAGATAGTAATTCTAAAACCCGGTCCGGTACCAAATTCCAATAAAAATGCATATGAGACATGTGATATGTTTTTAAATGATATAGCAAATACAGGAGTTAATATAATCGATATTGCATGTGATGAAGCTATTTTTCGAAGACTTAAAAATTATGAAAATAAAAATCTTAATGCTAATATTATTCTTGGACAGTGGCACACTTCAAAAGACATGTGCCAAGCCTTACTTGCAGCCTTTTCTGGTTATGAAATTTTTAATATGGCATTGCAGTTTGGTGTTCGATATTTAGAGAATTTAGAGAAAAGTTCAGATTATCATGCAACATGTACAGTTCTTGAGCTAATCTGGGCAGTAGTCAGAATTGCAATTTGCCATCATCTACAAGATACGAATAAAACTATTGATGACATTAAAAATGGGTCTAATAATATTTTGAAAGTTTAGTTAAATTATTATTGGTGGGCAGGTTATTGGAAAGCACACAAAATTGGAATTCGAAGAGGAAATTTCAATTTGCAAATTGCATGTCTCGCTGCATTTGCACCACTTTTTCCAGTTACTGGCAAATTTAGATATGCAGAATCAGTCGCTATTTTTTTAGAAAAATTACATAAAAACACACAACTTCAAAAATGACTA